ACATGTTAAACAGCAGCTAAAGTTAGACATTTTTAAAATCAGGAAGACCAGATAACTTGCATCCAAGAATTTTAAAGGAGCTGGCTGAGGTGCTTGCTGGACCATTAACATTGATTTTCAATTCGTCCTGGAGCACTGGGAAAGTTCCAGAAGAAAGCTAATGTTGGGTCATTCTGTTAACTCTTTTTAAATATTGGCACAAGTAATTATAAGCCTGTCTGTCTGACAATTGATAGCAGGCAAAATGATGGCATAGCTGATATAGGACTTGATTAATAAAGAATTAAAGTAGGTTAATATAATTAATGCCAGTCAACATGGCTTTTTGGAAAATAGATCCTGTCACACTAACCTGATTTTTTTTTTTTTTAAAGATGACATTAAAGTTTGGTTGTTAAAGGGAATAGGGTTGATGTAACACACTTAGACTTCTAGGAGGCATTTGACTTGGTACTCTGCAACATTTTGATTAAAAAACTAGAAGATATAAAATTAATATGGCACACAGCCAATTTTAAATCCATTTAATAACTGACAAGTCTCAAAATGTAGTTATAAACACAGAATTATCATCGAACAGGTGTGTTTCTAGTGGGATCCCGCAGAGATGATTTGTTATTGGTTGAATGCTATTTAACATTTTTATTAATGATCTGGAAGAATACAAAACCAGCACTGATAAAGTTTGCAGATGAGACAAAAATTAGGGGAGTGGTAAATAATGCAGCAGACAGGTCACTGATACAATGCTATCTGGATAAATTAGTAAGCTGGGAGCAAGCAAACAACATGCATTTTAATATGACTAATTGTAAATATATCCATCTAGGAACAAAGAATGTAGGCCATACTTACAGGATGGGGGATTCTATCTTGTCAAATAGTGACTCTGATAATCAACTGAACATTTGTTCTCAGTGCAACGCTGTGGCCAAAAAGGCTAATGCAATCCTTGGATGTATAAACAGGAGAATCTCAAGTACAAGTAGAGAGATCATCACTGGTGAGACCCCTGCTGAATACTGTGTCCAGTTCTGGAGTCCACAATTCAAGAAGGATGCTGATAAATTGGAAAGGGTTCAGAGAGGAGCCACAGGAATGATTAAAGAATCAGAAAACATGCTTTATAGTGATAAACTCAATCGACTGAGCTCCTTAAGGCTAACAAAGAGAAGGTAAAGGAGTGACCCAATTACAGTCTATAAAGTGCTAACTTGTAGAACAAACAAGGGGCTCATCAACGTAGCAGAGAAAGGTCTAACATGATCCAATGGCTGGAAGCTGAAGCTAGCTAAATTCAGACTGGAAATAAGATGTACATTTTTAACAGTGAGATTAATTAACCACTTGAACAACTTACCAAGGGTCGTGGTGGATTCTCCATCACTGACAATTTTTATAGCAAAACTGGAAGTTTATTTTGGAGCAGTTCTCTGGAGGTCAGACGAGATCACAATGGTTCCTTCTGGTCTTAGAATCTGTGACTGAAACAACAGCCGCCTTTTCCAAAGATTCATAGATTCCAAGGCCAGAAGGGCCCATTGTGATCATTTAGTCTGACCTGCTTATTTCCTTTTTAAGAAAGGAGAAAATGGAGTTAGTTGTAGACACTGATCAAAGTAGACAAATGACTGTATAGTCCATAAAGAATTTTTAATATAATTTACTACTGAAAATATGACACTAAGATAAACTATTAGCTAGATTATACAGGAGAAAGAAATCTGAATGAATATAGCACAAAACCTACAAATGTCCTATCCTGACTCAAATACTAAATGCTGTGATGCCTTATAGAGTCCATCACATCTGATCTTCCTCATTTCCAGAGGGATTGTGAGACATTCAACTAGGCTTTCACACATGGGGAGATAACGTATCAGTAGTATAGACGATGAAGAACTTGCTGTGTTAGGCTTACTGTATACTTACAGGAGGACTAAAAATATGAAAATATAAACAAATCCAAGATTTAATTTTCCAGTGAAACCAAGAATGTTTCAGGCTTGCTGCAGAGCGGTTTAGTTCAGCTCTCTCTAACAAGGGGGTATTTTCACAGTTGCCATTGTTTAGGTTTGTTTCAACAGCATACGGTCAGCTCAGCAGATTTGTGCTGACAGGATTTCATTGCATATCCTCCTGAAATTATTAATGTGGCCTCCATATGTTTATTTTATATTGGCATCTTAAAATATTCAACAAATTGAAATTATATTATTATTCAGGTACAGCACCTATGTAGCTTCGATCAATAGCTATGAAACCATGAGGCAAAGAGCATATGTGTCAGCTGTTTCCCCCATCATACAATTGCTGTCCAGCTTCCTTCCTTCCCATACAGTTAGGTCTTTATTAGCACCGCACTCAAGGATCTAGGCAAAAGAGAAAGCTAAAGTTTTGGCCATGCAGACTCTCAATGAATGTGTATTTCCCCCTCCCTGTCCCCATAAGCATCTCTCAACAAGGACTTCTAGTGTGATACCTGCAAGCACTAGAAGGGCCTGAATTAAAACCCAGCGAAGTTAATGGGAGTTGTTCCATTGACTTCACTGGACTTTGGATCAGGCCCCAAGCACCCAAGTGCACTGCCCTAAGTCCCCCTCTCTCAAGCTTATGATGCAGTAACCATGACAATGACCCCGTCTGTCACAAACCAGACCCTTTCTGCAGCACGGATTCTCTCCTAAAACACTAGGGTTCAACTCAAACAGCCATGAAGCACTGAGTCCCAACCCTTCCTCTCCAGTCTTCTGGGCTAAACATGGAAAGGCTATGAGGGGGATCTGAACTCCAGTTTGCTGCCTGACAGTGCAACACAGCTCTCAGCACTGGTCTGGGCCAGACCCAGCTCAATGCATGCATTAAATGTGAGCATAATGATTAATCCCAAGCAGCCAAGACAGAAAAAGCCACTGTGTTAGCTACAGTGAAGGTACTGCAATGGCACTAATCAATAAATGTAGGACCAATCACAATATATACATACAGATCTAATTTATTTATTGCTTTAGATTTAAACAGTATTAAAGAGCCACCTATAGAAAGAGCAGACAATTAAGTCTTACATCAACGTAAATGATCAACAGCAATTTGAAAAACAATATATATATATATATATATATAAAAAATATGAGGAACAAACTCATCCACCAGCAAACAATTAAGCCAAGTTGAAAAGTAGTAGGTTACTTTTCATGAAAAAGCCTTTCAATCAGTTCAAAATTTCAGATTTCCCCCCTCCACACACAATTTTTTTTTTTTTTAAAGAGAAAATGGATCAAAAGAACAGTTTCATTTAAATCTGAATAAAAGATTTTGATTCAGTTTTGGCATTTCATCCTCCTTTTTGTTTTTGAAAGACAGGATTGGTGAGGAAGTGAAAACTGAAACAAAACAAAACTGTTCTATCTGAAACTAAATGAAAGTTTGTTTTTATTTTTCTGTTGAAAAATAGAAAAGTTTTGAAGGGAAAAAAAGTGTTGATGAAAATTATCATTTTCTTTGAAAAAACATTTGTCACTGAAAAAAATTGACAAAAATTCTGACTACCTTTATAAACAAACAAACAGTAACCAATTAACTCTGCCATCCAGGAAATCAAAGCGTGAAACAGCCCTCTAACACCTCTGGTAGCCTACCCTTAATCTCCCCCAAAACAGTCATAATCTGGAGATATTTTAACCATGGGGGAGAGCAAGTCCTAGAGTATTGGGGCCCTTGCAGAGAAAACCCTACCAGCAATCCCCTCTTTTATAATGAAAAAGATCCAGTCGATGTCATTTAATGTTTTAAAACTGATTGATGTTAATAAAAAAGATCTATTCTATCACTGAACAGCACAACACAAAGTATACGCAATTCCCACAACATACTCCAGTATGCACTGTCACTCTGAAGCACAATAGCATACAAATGGCTTAATATATGCAATGGTAGGGGCGCATGATAACAAACAGGAGCACTGAATGGTCAGGGAAAGGATTTAAAACTGCAGAGTTGTAGTCTATAGTTTAGCGTACATGCTGGAGGCTTTATCATTTCCTTCTAGAACTGCACTCCCTTGACATCACAATTGAGGTGCACCAACAACTGAGAAGAGCGTGTAAATAAACTGTAAAATATTAAGAATAAGATTTAAATTTACAAACTTACCCCAAGGAAGATTAAGTTACAGCAAACTAAGACTACTTTACTTTTCAACGAGAGCATGGGGGAAGGCAGGATAACACGCTAACTTGTGTGCATTGACTTCACACCTTTCATTGATTCGCCTTAGTTTTCCCCATGTAGACAACGTGGATATTAGAGTCCCTCAGTATTACACACACACACACACACACACACACACTATATTTTCATTTAAACCACAGGTCTTTACACATTTTTATTTCCCCAGGGTTTATATTTATAGATAATGGCATTTTGTACACAATCACGAGTTATAATGCTCCACCCTGCCGATCAACTCCTCCCCCTGCCTCCCAGCGCCTCCTGCACACCACAGAACAGCTGTTCCACCGCCTGCAGGAGGCATTGGTAGGGAGGGGGAGGAGCAGGGATGGGGCAGCAGGAGAGGGGTGGAGTGGGGTTGGGACCAGGGGTGGATTGGGGGCGGAAGAGGCGGGGGCAGGGGTGTGGATTTGGGGCAAAGGGGGTGGGTGGGGGTGGGATCTGGGGTGGAGCAGGGGTTGAGCACCCCCGGGGAAAATTAGAAGCCAGCACCTGTGGCGTCTATGGATTTCAATAGAAGCTCTGAGATGAGGACGTGCAAAGATCAGGCCCTGTGCTTGCAAACAAGCAAGAAAACAAAACAAGAAAAAATTTCCTTGAATTCTGTACAGTCACTGCAGTAAATATAACAGGCCAAATGGTGCACCAATTTATGCTTCAGGTAACTCTGTGGAATTAATGGGTTTTCCAGGGTTCTAAATAAGCCCAGAATTTAGCCTAATAATCAGTATGGTTACAAACCATAACAAGGAGAGTTTTTGAAGTCTTACCTGTTCCAAGTCTTGAAAGCATTGCTGGCTCTCTTAAAGAGATACCCTTCCATAACAATGCCATTGGCTGCATCTACATTGTATTCTAGCTTAGTATCATCACTGGAGAAATCCTGGTATTTAAAAAAAAAATTTAAATTTCAAATGCCGCTCAAAACATTAATTTCAAACTGTGCAAATATTTGGCAATGACATCATGCTTGTAATACCTACTGATTATTCTGCAACTATTAGGCCCGCACACAACATTAGGAATGTGAATTTTAAGGCACTAGAGTCAATTTTATTTCACAAAATCTATACATGTCATAATAGCATTATATAATAAGACACGGGGAGTTTTACCAGCCATATTTACAGATACTTGTGAAAAAGAGCATCATTCTATAGCTTAATAAACTGCACATCAGCAGTGGGCAAGTGTCAGAAAAGCCAAGAAACTGAAAATCAAACTGAAAGAAAATATGAAAACTTCTGTAATTTGATTAAAAGCAGAGCATCCAACTGTCTAGATACAAATGAGTGACTGAGTAACAATACTTGAACTAAGAGTATATTTTCAGAAAGCTGCAAAATCAATCAGAAATTGTGGTAACCACCGTGCCTTTACTGGAACTTTATATTTCACAGCAACAACATGCTCAACACTGTATATTTGTGTTTTGTACAGAGTCCCTCATCCCACAACCCTATTTCTTTTATTATCCCTCTGCTTTGATTACATCTGAATTTTAGTGTCTGTTCTGAATTTCACATCTGATATTTTATTAATAAGGTGAGATTTTCAAAGATGTCTAAGGGATATGAACACTATTCCCAATAAAATGAATAGTAAATAAGCATCCAAATACACTAGATGGCTGTGAAATTCATATCCCGAATTGCCCTTTGGAATCAAGACTGAACTCTCAATTATGTATCAGATTATTCAATAAATGTATGAGAGGGAAAACACAATGAGCAAAAGAGGACAATATCTGGCTAACAAGTCTGATAGGACTTCTCCTCAACCTTGCCAAAAACACAAAGCTAATGGAAGTTGAACATCCAGAACACAAAATAAATATTTCACAGGGTCCACCGAACAAAAACATGGGCACCGCTGTCAAAGATATAGCCAATGGATTTTGGAATAATAAGCACGTATCCCAAAACAATTTCTGCAGCGACACAAGATGCATCTTCATTTGAAAGGGAACACAATGACCCAACCACTCCAAAGTTTTTGCCCCTCTTCTGACCATCAACCCTTCAGTCTTGCTTGCTTTGATATGAGGTAGCTGCTCTTATTCCAGGAGTTAGTCACCTGTAGACCTGCAGCATCCTTGTGCAGATGTTGGTTGACCTTTTGGAAAAGGAAAGAGATAGCTGAGTATCATCAACCTTTTATTGGCCTCACCACTCTCCAAATGGTCTTGCATGGATACTGAAGAGCAAGACTAGGATAGGTCTTTAGGTGAGGGTTAGGGGGTGAGAGAAAGGAAGAGAAGCAGTTGTCCATTCTCTCTGCACCCGGTTAGGGAGAAATGATTGAAGCCATTGTATTGCTACACAGGATTGGGCCAAAAGAAACCTGATGAGGTTCAACAAGGACAAGTGCAGAGTCCTGCACTTAGGACAGAAGAATCCCATGCACTGTTACAGACTAGGGACCGAACGGCTAGGAAGCAGTTCTGCAGAACAGGACCTAGGGGTTACAGTGGACGAGAAGCTGGATATGAGTCAACAGTGTGCCCTTGTTACCAAGAAGGCTAATGGCATTTTGGGCTGTATAAGTAGGGGCATTGCCAGCAGATCGAGGGACGTGATCGTTCCCCTCTATTCGACATTGGTGAGGCCTCATCTGGAGTACTGTGTCCAGTTTTGGGCCCCACACTATAAGAAGGATGTGGAAAAACTGGAAAGAGTCCAGCGGAGGGCAACAAAAATGATTAGGGAGCTGGAGCACATGACTTATGAGGAGAGGCTGAGGGAACTGAGATTGTTTAGTCTCCAGAAGAGAAGAATGAGGGGGGATTTGATAGCTGCTTTCAACTACCTGAAAGGGGGTTCCAAAGAGGATGGATCTAGACTGTTCTCAGTGGTACCAGATGACAGAACAAGGAGTAATGGTCTCAAGTTGCAGTGGGGGAGGTTTAGGTTGGATATTAGGAAAAACTTTTTCACTAGGAGGGTGGTGAAGCACTGGAATGGGTTACATATGGAAGTGGTGAAATCTCCTTCCTTAGAGGTTTTTAAGGTAAGGCTTGACAAAGCCCTGGCTGGGATGATTTAGTTGGGAATTGGTCCTGCTTTGAGCAGGGGGTTGGACTAGATGACCTCCTGAGGTCCCTTCCAACCCTGATATTCTATGATTCTATGATACACCACCTTCTCCTGACACATCATCTAAACAGGGCAGCTGTGTCAGAAGTCAGAAGAGAGGTTAAGCGTAGAAACACTGAGATGTAGCCTCCATCCCTTACCATAAGAAGGCTGTCTTAATGCCATTAGTGCTGGCTGTATGCCTAGTGTGGCCAAACCGCAGCTCACAAGCCATATGCAGCGCTTTTACAGTTAAAGAGTGGCTTGCGAAGCCCCCTGCACTCCCCCCCATTCTCCGCCTACCAGACTGGTGGAGGGAGCTTGGGGCTTTCGCAGTGTGGCAGGGTAGTGGAGCTAGGGGCTTCTGCCCTGCAAGGAGCGGGGGATGCCGTGGCTCGGGTGGAAGTCTGAAGCCACAGCAGGCGCTGCCCCACAGGGATGAGGTCCCAAGCCCCAGTAGGCACCGCCCCACGGGGCAGGTTGCGTGTGTCTTGAGATTCTCAAACTTCTGAAGATTATCGTATGTGGCTCAGAGGATCAGTAAGTTTGGCCACCCCTGCGGTATGCTGTGTCCTTGTCTGGGGCCTGATTGCAAAGCATCCAGCATGGCTGCAGAGTTCATACAACGCTGGAGCTTGGCTCTCACTATTTTCTCAATGATTTTACTGAAGAATGTGATGCTAGAGACAGGACAATAGAAAGATTGTCTCCATCTGATGTTGGCTTTTTTGTGGACTGGATCAGCTATTACATTCTTCGGGGAGGCTGACAGATTCACTTCTATCAAGGAGGTGCTGATCTATAAGTAGTATGCATAGTAATTGTTGCTGGTTTTCATATTCCTGGAGGTGCACAGACCTGTTCCTTGGGTGGATAGTTCAAATCTTCTTAAGAAATTCTAGATCTTCATTGCACGTAACGGGTTGAAGTCTGCCAGAGATTTACATGCACACAGAGTGACATCATATACATATATACACTGTGAAACCTTAAGCCATGGCCCAAAGGACAAGATATACATTTAGTGCTTGGCTACACGGGCAAACTCAGGAAACAAACTGAATTCACTTTCAAAGTAGTTTAAACTGCATGAAACCACTGTGTGGTCATGCTTATTCAGAATTAAAGTGACCTGAATTCAGCATTATCTTAATTCATGTTACAAACAAAATGAAATAAACGGAGGGCTTTTCTACTAGAACATTTAGTTCACGGCAAGTTGGGATTTGAATCTACCTTACACAGCAGGGCTGTGTAGACAAGCCCTAAGTTTAACCAGTCCTTCATCACATTGAGGGGCAGTTCATTGCTGAGAGTGAGAATGACAAACTTGCACAAAACAACAGAGTCCTGTGGCACCTTTAAGACTAACAGATGTATTGGAGCATAAGCTTTCGTGGGTGAATGCCCACTTCGTCGAATGCACAGGACTTTCTGTTGCTTTTTACAGATCCAGACTAACACGGCTACCCCTCTGAAACTTGCACAGAGACTTCACAGAGAGCAAGGTGGTCAGACCATACTAATTTTTAGCAGTAGCTAAATTAATGAGGGACCTCCATTGAACTCTCTGATTTGAGCTTTGTTCCATAGGGACTCATCTACCAACACTTTCTGTATTGCTTTTAACTGTATCAGATGAGAGTGTAGTTACAGCAGTACAACCTCCTAGCATGGAGACATTTATACCTGTATAAAGATGCTTGTTGAAGCATAGTTTATTCATGGAAATGTGGAAGAATAAGCTATACTTCTATAAGGCATCTTTATACTGGTACACCTGTGTCCACACTAGGGGTTGTACTGATGTAGCTATTTTGGTGGGGGGGAAAGAAAAACTCTTGCCCTTAACTGAAATAGTTGAATGGACACAAACTGTGTCACGACCAGGCCTAGGGTAGAAGGAAAAGAGGAGGCAGCAAAGACAGCATAATTTGATCCCACTGATGAGCTTCATACCGTACTAATAGGATTCTAAAAGGACCCCAAAGGGAACATTGTTCTGCCCCTGTGATTGGAAGAAAGTGTGATGACCTAGCAGAAGATTAGCCAAGCAGGGCAATGGGATGGTTACAACTGTTAATATAGGCCTTTTATGAATGGATGCAGGCAATAAAGACAACAGGTGCCTGTGCCCAGGACAGTATATTATTCAATAAAATGGCCAAAGAGCTTACACACTGAATATTCTCAGCTATTCCCAATTTATTTTAATAGGTAACTATATCATGATCAGAACACTGGCTAATAATTCAGAATCTGATAGTAGGCACTCACTATAAAAGTAAAAACTACTGTTTAAATTTTAGCACTAACCAGCTATTGTATGGGCTTATATTTTAAAAACACAAAAACAAAGCAGTATATAACCCAATGATCATAAAACCCAGAATTCAGACACGCATACTTTTCTTTATTCCTCAACTTTTCATAAATCTTAATACTTTGATACCTGGTCTCAAATTCAGAAGATGCTAAATATTACAAAAATTTCATATAAAAATGCATACTCAGTATAAATATTACAGTACCATTTTAGTATAATGTAAGAATGCGTACATTACAAACATTTTAAAATATAAGTGTTTTACAAAGCATTTTCAGGGTTTCTTTTTCCATACTGTGCCCTTTTCAAAAGAGCTAAAATTTGCTGAGTTAACATTTTTCTTACAAAATGTAATTAATTAATGTTTTAATTTCTCTCTCAAACTTACCAACTCCCAAACATAATGAAACCTGCTAAAGATTTGCATCTTACTGTCCTTAATGATTTCTGTGATTTCTTGTCTGAGGAAAAAAGGTATATTTC